AAAAAAAAAAAAAAAAAAAAAAAAAAAAATCAACATGACAGCATCAAGTCTGGAATGCAGACAAGTAGAGAGGAAGGTATATAGCCACATCTGTCAGCTACTTATTAAGGACTGTTTTATAAATCTTATGATTTCGAGTCTTCAAAAAGACCTGAGTTTCTGAAGACTTGAAACTTGGAATCAGAATTAATTTGAACAGCCTTATCATGGGAAAATGAAGCAGTTTTGAGATAGCTTTTTGAAAATAGGTTGAGGATCCTAAATTAGGAATCACTAATCTGATCACTTTTTTAGGAAACTGAAGCACAAAAAAGTAAAATTTCTCACAGTATTACAGAGCTTATGGCAGAATTGGGACTTAGAATTGAGGTCATCTGACTGCAGATCCAGCAGAATGCACTGTACCCCCAGTGCCTTTCTCCCCCGACATAGCTCTTAATGCTGTCTTTACACAGATACATTTCTCCATTGTCTTAAGTAATTTATATTTCAAAAACAAAACCGTTTTCTACAGAGGAATTTCATAATCACAAAAAATGGTTGAGGTGTTTTGGTTTTGTTTTCCACTTTCATATTAAGACTTCTTTCCTGTCATTTTCAGAAATTAACCCTGCAGCATGTGAACAGTAATCAGTGCCTGGATAAAGCCACAGAAGAGGACAGCCAGGTGCCCAGCATTAGAGACTGCAATGGAAGCCGGTCCCAGCAGTGGCTTCTTCGAAATGTAACCCTTCCAGAAATATTCTGAGACCACATTTACAAAAAAAGAAAAAAATAAGGATTGACTGGGCTACCTCAGCATACATTTCTGCCACATTCTTAAGTAGCAAAAAAAGGAAAAGTGCTTTCCTCCTGCAGGATGTAAGGTTTATCAGCCATTAAAACTTAAACTGCTCTTTCACTAGCTGTGAACCGGCCTTCCTGTCCAAGGACGTGGAACTACGTTAGTAGCGAGATTGTGCACACTGATGTTTACAAGATTAAGAGTCTTTCATCAAGAATCATTGTAAAGAATATTCAGACTGAAACAATCTACGCAATGTGCTTTCCAGAGAGCTGCACCTTTTATGGTTTGCTTGCACATCAGTCATTTCTGCTGAATGTGCCGTTATAATGAAGAGATGTCCAAGATTTTTTTTCTGATTAGAACTGGTAGCCAGTATATTAAATATTGATATAAAAATAAATGAAAAAGAACTGGAACCAGATTCAGAATCATGAAAACATTTTTACAACAATTAAAAAAACTATATTAAACAGGGTTTAAAGGAAATTAAAACAGAACTATGAGAAGTACAATTTGTTATAGTATAGTATCAAATTTCTATATAGATTTTATACCTCAGCGGGGGAAAATAACTGATTCCATTGACATTTCATTCTGTTTTCATCTGTGATAGTCATGGATGCTTTTTTTTTTTCCTTGGGGTGCTGAAATTGAGCTGAAAAAGTGGCTCCTTGAACGTAGTTTTAATTGCTTTCTACAGTTGTTTTTTTAATTTGGTTTGTGGGCTGTTGGAATTGTAATTTTTGATTGCCTTCAAAAAATGGAGATTTAAAATAATGTCTGGTTTCACTGAACAAGTTTGATATCTCAGTTGCTCTTGGGTCAACTGGCTTATAGACTTTCTCTCACACACAAATTTCTTATTAGATTTTCAACTTCCTAACTTGATTCAACTGATTATGTTTAATACCCAAGATTCATACTACTGTACTACAGATTTGTTTTCACAGCAATAAATCTTCTGTTCTTTGTTTATGATTCCACTCAATAGACGGCCTGCAGAAGTGATTTATTATTAGGGTATTTGGAGATGATACGTTTGATGGTTTTTTGGAAAAAACTTTTTTCACTCCATACTCAGATGTGCTTCATTGTCAAGTGCATATTTAGATTAGGTTCTTGAATTGTAATGTTGATCTGCTGCTTTTTTTTTTAATAAAATTTGACTGAAAATGTTTAATTGGCATTTTTTAATGAGTTAGCTGAAGAAGTGCAGCTATTATTCCATATTATTAGTCCTGCATTTCTTCCCTAAATTGCATTTAGGTTAAATCTGTTTTATTTTTCTGATTTTTAATACAAGATAACCCGAGTATTGATTAAAGTTGAGTATCAATTAAATTGTTTTAATCATCGAAAGAAAATCTGATTGTGACATTTTTCCTGATACGTGAGGCAATCCGTTGGCAAGAGTGCATATATTTTTCTTCCTATTTGTAAGATTATATTTAATGATATTTTCTTTGTCAAAGGCTCTCACTGCAGGCAGTGCTATTTCTTGTGCCTAAAAATGTTTCTGAAAGTTGTTGCATCCCTAATGATGCTTGCCAGGTTGAGTGTACAGAAAGTTTCTCATATCCTATTCAAATTAATATCAAGCACATGTGGATGCTTTAGGGTGAGGCTGTAGTACAGAATGCATAAATTTTGTCCCCAGGAAATCTGAGACAAAGGAGGTGCTGGATGGGGTTTTTTTTCCTATTCCATGAGCTGTGTTAATTCTATCTTTGGTAGGCCTTATGCTTGAATAAACCAGATGTCTAATCAATAAATTATTTTCATGCTCAGAATTTCAGGTTTTTGTACTCTAGTGTAGGTTGATCTTATTTCTTACTGTAAGAAAACTTAACAGCAATGTGATTTAAGGTTTTGTTGTGTTTTTTTAAGAGGGGGATGTGAGTGATTTAATTCATGGGTACTTTTAGAATCCGATAGATAATCCCATTGCCTTTATTTTTCTAATTAAAGAATTCCTAAGTACTTTGAAAATATAAAATATTCCTGAATAGTTTTGCTTTACATTGGTTTTATCTGAAGTTAAAATAGATCCCTGTTCTTCATAGCTCTTTGTAGATTAGGCAGTGTGCTAAACACTGTTAAAAATTAAATTGGGAAGAAAGGAATGAATGAAAAAGAAAGCAAAGGATGAAAATATGGGATTATTACTTGACTAGTGAATAATTCGTAAATGTGACAGTTAAGGACAATTTGAATCTCACCAATCTATTCACCCTACTCCAATCCCAACCCATTTTAATACGTCTTTCTGTTCTAATTGGGATCTTGAAAAATAGTACTTTGTTCACCATTCTGCAAATAAAAGGCAGCATGTAGGTCATGTCCTCATTTCCCTATTCTGCATTCAGCTGAAAAACAAAGGTTCCTCTGTAAAGATTTGGTGCTGTCTCCGTTTTTTAAGAACTATACCAAGAACAAATTTAACTCCAGAATTACATATTCTGCAAAGGAGAAGGAAATCAGAAAGAAGGTAGTATTTCTGAGGTGATAACTGTAAAAAGAGGTATACAAAGAATGAATCACTTTTTACTGTTCGGAAAATCAGATTTTTCCAGTGATATGACACCGCTCCTATTCTCTGATTTCTTGAAGTGTTTGCTTGATAAATCTATCAGAACTGACAATTTTGCAGGATATGAGGCAAAACTCAGTTGTACTGTCTATACATTAGCAACAGACAATTGAGAATTAAATTTTAAATATATAATTTATCATCAAAGAAGTCAAATACCTCGAAAGTAAGGTAATGAGAGGTGCAAGACTTCTACCCGGAGAACTACAAAACATTGCTGAGAGAAACTGTAGAACACTGCAATCCATATGTTATGTTCATGAATTGAAAGACTGCATACCGTTAAGATCTCATTGCCCACAAATTGATCTACAGATCCAGTGAAATCAAAATATGAGGCTTTCTTGTAGAAATTGGTAAATATACATGAAATGCAGCAGACCCAAAATAGCCAAGAAAATCTTGAAGAAGAAAAAAAAACGTTGGAAGACTTTACACTACTCGATTTTATGACTTGTTTTAAAGCTACAGAAATTTGAGTGTGGTACTAGAGTTAGGACAGATGTAGATCAAAGGATAGAATAGAGAGTCCAGAAATAGATCCGCACATATGTAATTACTGACTTCAACAAAAACACCAAGCAATTCAGTAAGTTGTTATGGAACGTGTTTTCACATGAGAAAACACCAAACACTGATGCTTTAATGCAATGTGCATTTATTCAAAATTGATCGGAGACCTAAATGTGAAGGGCAAAGCAAATCTTCTAGAAGAAAACAGAGTATCTCCATGACTCTCAGGATAGGCAGGTATTTTAGGACACAAAAGATGTCAACCATAAAAGATAAAAACTGATAAATTTCACCAAAATTAAACCCTTCTCATCAAGAAGATACTATTAAGGTGAAAAGGCAAGCCATGACCAAGGAGAAAACATTTGCAATACATGTAAATGACAAAGGATTCATATGCAGAAAAACAACTTGTAAAAGCCATTTCAAAAGCCACACAATATAAAAATCAATGACTTGAATACACACTTCACAGAAGCTATCCAAATGTGCAATTAGCACAGGAAAAGGTGCCCAACATCAGTCATCAGGGAATGCAAGATGAAACCGCAAGGAAATCACACTGCATACCTGCTGAATGGTGAGAATGTGGAGCAACTGGTGTATGTCAGTTGGTATTGTCACCTTGGGAAACAGCTTGCCAGTTCCTCATAAAGGTAAACATATGCCTACCCCATGACTCAGTGACTCTACTTCCACAGATACAACCAAGAAAGACAAGTATATGGGCCCACAGCAAGATTTGTGCAAGAATATTCTCATAGTTCCAAACTGGGAACTACCCAAATATCCATCAACAAGTTAGTGGATAATCAAACTAATGGTACATTTATACACTGGGATATTAGTCTGCAATTTTAAAAAGTGAAATCCTGATAGAACAACAAGGATAAGTCTAAAAAATGTTGAACAAAGAAAGCTAGACATGTTACATTTATATCAAGTTCAAGAACAGGCAAAGCAAATACAGAGTGGTTACCTCTGGGTGAGCACAGGGTGGAAACAAGCATGAGAGAACTTTCTGGAATGATGGGAGTATTCTATAAAGTGATTTAGATGATGGTAACATGCATAAACATTTAAAATTTTCTTGAGCTGTGTACTTAGGATATATGCCTTTTATTGTATGTGAATTATACCTCAATAAAGTACTGGGGGAAATAAGGAAGACAGCAAGATTTTCTCCACTGCTACAAAACACCCAGAGGCTGAATAAATTACAACAAACATATTTCCTGGTGGGATGCTGAGCTTAGAAGAAAATATAGAAAATCCCTAATGTCTGGGGGTAAAAAAGGATACATAAACTTAAGCCACAGATGTAACTGCTAAACATGAAAGCCCTTCCTCTCCAAGGACAAAATATAGTAACCAGAGTTTGAGAAATAGGAGCTTAGGCCTGAACAAAGTTGGAGAATTGAAGATCTGCATAAAGCTGGGATAGTCAGAGGAGTTACACCTAAGGATAGGTAAAGAAGTCTGGCACCTTGTGAAGGAAACCAAAAAGTGATTGACTCTGCCCCTCTTCCGAGTGTAAAGGGTGATGAGGATGATGCCACCTCTGTCATCATAAGGCCTGCTTTTAACACAGATCACACAGATCAAGGGTTTAATGCCACAGTCATGAGGTCTGCAGATCAAGAAAAAGAGTAGATTTATGGCCTTTGCTGGGAATCATTAGAATACAAGTCTTTTTGAAAAAAATCCAATTTCCTTCCCTCCCCCAATTATGAAATCACTGTATAAAAGAGGAAGTGAGTCCCCAGTATGAATGTAACAAAAAAAAAAGTTTGCTGAAGACAAAGACGGTGGAATAGGAGGATGCTGAGCTCACCTCCCCTCACAAACACACCAAAACTACAAATACATATGGAGCGACTCTCAGGTCAGCATGGGGACTAGCAGAACAGCTCTTCCACAACCAAGGCTGTAAAGAAAGATCCACACAGAGCCTGGTAGGAAGGGAAAAGAAGCAATCTGGTGGAGACCTGCACCCCTAGTGGGGGATACAGAAGAGGAGGGAGAGATCACAGGCTCAAGGATCCTCCCTGGATAGTGAGGGGTTCCAGCCACTTACGAGGCACGCCAGCCAAGGGGTCTGACACCAGGAAGATGAGCCCTTTTAGTGAGTTTGAAAACCAGTGGGGCTTACCTAAGGGCTATAGGAAACTGAGACCCCATTCTTGTAGAACATATGCGTGGACTTGCTTCCGATCACAGTGTGGAGGCAACAGATTGAAAACTGCCTGGGGCTCTGGCCAGTTTGCTGGGACCACTAGCACACTCCCGAGCCTGCACTGGGCTCCTGCTCCAGTCCCCCTTGCTCTGGTGCTGTTTGCCACTAGGGCAGAAGCTGTAGTTTTCAATGAGCGTATGCACACTTGGAGAGA